AGAGTTTCTGTACTCTCCAGGTCTTTCTGTCTCCTTCTTCCATAAGATTCCCTGCATTCTGCCCAAAGTTTGGCTATGAGTCTTAGCATCTTCTTTGATACTTTGCGGGGTAGAGTCTTTCAGAGGCTCTCTGTGGTAGGCTCCTTTCCTGTTCCCTGTTTTCTCCCACTTCAGATGTCTATCCCATTTGCCTTCTGAGTGAGGATTAAGCAACTTCCCTGGGGTCGTCCTTCTTGTTTAGCTTCTTTGGGAAAGTAGATTTTAGTATGTTTAACCTATATTATATGGGTAACATCTACTTATAAGTGAGTATCTCCCATGTGTGTCTTTCTGCTTCTGGGTCATCACAGTCAGAATGATCTTTACTAGATCCCACCATTTGCCTGCATATTTCATGATTTCCTTGTTTTTAATTGCTAAGGAGTGTTGCATTGTGTAAATCTACCACAATTTCTGTATCCATTCCTTAGCTGAGGGACATCTGGGTTGTTTCCAGATTCTGGCTATTAGGAATAAAGCTTCTATCAACATGGTTGAGAAGATGTCCTTGTATTCTTGCACATATTTTGGATATATGCCTAAGAATGGTATAGCTGGATCTGGAGGTAGCACTATTCCTAATTTTCTAAGAAAGCACCAGATTGATTTCCAAAGTGGTTGTACAAGGTTACATTCCCACAAGCAATGGAGGATGGTCCCTCTTTCTCCACATCCTCTCCAACATGTGTTGTCACTTGAGATTTTGATCTTAGTCATTCTGATGGGTGTAAGGTGAAATCTCAGGGTCATTGTGAATTTCATTTCTCTGATGACTACGGATATTGAACATTTCTTTAAGTGTTTCTCTGCCATTTGATATTTCCCTATTGAGAATTCTCTGTTTAGAACTTTACCTCATTTTTAAATTGTATTACTTGATTTGCTGGTGTTTAACTTTTTGAGTTCTTTATGTTTCCGGATATTAGCCTTCTGTCAGATAGAGGGTTAACAAAGATCCTTTTCCAGTCTGTAGGCTGTTGTTTTGTTCTGATGACAGTATCCTTTGCTTTACAGAAACTTTTCAGTTTCATGAGATCACATTTATTGATTGATCTTAGAGCCTGTGCTGTTGGTGTTCTTTTCGGAAGTTGTCTCCTGTGCAAATGAGTTCAAGGCTCTTCCCCACTTTTTCTTCTAACAGGTTTAGTGTGTCTGGTTTTATGTTGAAGCCTTTGATCCACTTTGACTTAAGTTTTGTGCAGGGCAGTAAATATGGGTCGATTTGCATTTTTCCACATGTAGACATCCAGTTAGACCAGCACCATTTGTTGAAGATTCTGTCTCTTTTCCATTGTATGCTTTTGGCTTCTTTCTCAAAAATCAAGTATCCGTAGGTGTGTGGGTTTATTTCTGAGTCTTCAGTTTGATTCCATTAATCCCTCATTCTGTTTCTATGCCAGTACTGTGCAGTTTTTATTCTTGTTGCTCTGTAGTACACCTTGAGATCAGGGATGGAGATACCTCCAGAAGCTCTTTTATTTTTCAGGAATATTTTATCAATTTGGGTTTTTTTTTTTTTCATATGCAGTTGAAAATTTTTCTTTCAAGTTCTGGAAAGAGTTGTGTTGGTATTTTGATGGGAATTGCATTTAATTTGTAGTTTACTTTTCGTAGGATGACTGTTTTCACTATGTTAATTTTACCCATCCCATGGACATGGAAATCTTTCCATCTTCTGATATCTTCTATGATTTCTTCCTTCAGAGACTTGAAGTTTTTTTCAAACAGCTCTTTGACTTGCTTGCTTAGAGTTAAACCAAGTTACTTTATGTCTTTTGTGGCTATTGTGAAGGGTGTGTTTCCCTGCCATTTGATAGTCTTCTTTTGAAAATTCTCTGTTTAGCTCTGTGACCCATTTTTAATTGGATTATTGGTTTTGTTGGTGTTTAATTTCTTGAGATCTTTATATTTTCTAGATCCTAGTCCTCTGTCAGATGCAGGGGTGGTGAAGATATTTTCTCAGTCCATAGGGCATTTTGTCTGTTAATAGTCCTCTGCTTTATAGAAGCTTTCAGTTTCATAAGGTCCTATTTATTAAATGTTGAACTTCGATCCTGGCCTTTTGGTATTCTATTCAGGAAGATGTTTCCTGGGCCAAAGAGATCAAGGCTGTTTCTCACTTTTTCTTCTAACAGATTTAATATGTCCAGTTTTATGTTGAGGTCTTTGATCCACTTGAACTTTAATTTTGTGTTGGGTGATAAATATGGGTCTATTTGCATTTTTCTATATGTAGACATCAGTTCCAACCAGTCACTTTCCAGGTTCAGCCCCGACTGGGCCCTGCTCATCTCTTGCTTCCGTTTGAGACTTTCAAAAAATACATTTCAATCATTTAAGAATTAGCATCCTACCTCAGGCAACACTCATGACTCTGATTTTTATTTTTTAAAAGAATGAAATATAATTCTAAGATCTTCATTGATTTTGTCATACCACATTTGTTCTAGCCATTTCCTACTTTTTTTTTTTTTTTTCAAATATTGGTTAAAATTCTTAGGCAGAAGTTGGGTTGACCTCTTTTTTTTTTTAATTTGAAGAGGTATGAATAACTTATCAGGTATTATTCAGAAAAAATTGATAAAAGTTTATCTGTTCAGAACAAATCTATTTCTGACCATGCCAGCACTCAAGAGAACAGGGTTTTCAGTGTCCTCTGAAGCCTGATGTTAAACATATGCAAACAGCTTTTGTAAATCTACAATGGAAAAAGAAAACACAAATGTGAATATTTAGATAATGTGTATGTTATTTTATACTTTATTGTGTGTTTACCTCAAACGAGATGTAAACTTGGGAATACAGGAGCAAACTAGTTTTATTTCTCTCCTCTCTTCTTGACTTCCATTATCCTTTCATTACCTAGGAATTTACTTACAATGAAGGAGTATCAAGTCTTTTCAAAGAAGAACAGCTTAGGCATTAGGAAGATAGGGAAAGTGTGATAACACAATCATGCAGACACAAGTTTCATCCCTAGCACTCATAAAAGGTGAAAGCCCTTGCCTTCTGTTATCCTAGCCCTGACAACAGGGAAGAGGAAGTAGAGAGAGAAGAGCCCTGTCTGGGTGCTTGCTGGCCACCTGGACTAGGCAATTGCTGACCTACAGTTCAGTGACAATACCCTATCTCAAAAATGAAGTGGAAAATGTTAGGGGAAAAAAGAAGACACCAAAGTCTAGGCTGCATATGGGCGAGTACACTCTCAGGCATGTACCGTACACACATGCATACACACACCCACACTCATACACACCTATACACACAGTGAGAAGGAGAGGGAGAGAGACCGAGGCCACTGGTATCTAGGAACGTTACTGAGACTCTTGTTTTATGCAGGCTCCATTTTTTTTTTAATTATCCACTCTTATGTGTTATGAAGTAGAAGTGGTGGGTAATTGAGTAAAGGTGATATCATTTCATCTTTAAAATTCACTAATGAAAACTGGGTTTCTATCAGAGTTGTTCACAACTAGAATGTACACAGATTAAATTCAGAATCACAATTGTGAATATGATACTTAAATTTATAAACAAATGATTTAGTATAGAAATTGCTATATTGTGTTTTCAGTGTTTAAAATCAGTTGATACTGCATATTCTTGCTAGCAACAACGATACTTTCAGTTTTAGTTTTTACTTTATTGTTATTTTTATTTATTAAAGTTTATTCACTTTGTGTCTCTGCTGTAGTCCCCTCCCTCATCTCCTCCCAGTCTTACCCTCCCTCCCTCTTCCTTTCCTGTGTCCCTCCCCTAGTCCACTGATAGGGGAGGCCCTCTTCCCCTGCTATCTGACCCTAGCCTAGCAGGTCTTATCAGAACTGTTTGGATCCTCTTTCTTTGTGGCTTAGTAAGGGCACCTCACCAGGGGTAGGTGATCAAAGAGCAGGCAACCAAGTTCATGCCAGAGACTGCCCCTGCTCCCCTTGCTAGGGATCCTTCATGGAAACTGAGCTGCCGATAGGCTACATCTGAGCAGGGAGTCAAGGAAGTAGAGTTGTTAGCACAGTCCTTTACAAATGGTATTTGATCCAAGCTGAGTGGTCAGTAATAGAGAATCTTCATCTGTAATTGTTAGGTTATAATTCAGTTTCCTGAGATTTAACAGGTGTACACCCTTTATATATGGGTCTCTCCAACAGGACATTAGTCAACACTCTGAAGTCAACTGGATACTTGTTAGAATGATACTTCTTTATAAGTCTTCACACCAAGAAGTTTATAGACTGTACCCTGTAATAACGTCAGGCTACTTAGCACTACCAAATGATTGGGAGAAAAATTACCCAGTATTCAAAATTTTGAGTGATTCTCAATCTGCAAAATAAAGTAACTATCTTCTCATCACAGGCTAAAATTTATTCTCTCATTTTGACTGCTTGTGTGATTTTTAGGTTATCTTAATGTGGGACCAAAGACTAATACTTTTAATTCCGTTTTGAACCTCATTTACCTCTATAGGTGCCATGCAGAATTTTTCTTTTTTGGAGAATAAAAAGACAAAAATCTATGAGATGTATTTTGACCAGGATCAATTGGACATGGAAGTTTCACAACTTATTTAGAATTTTTCATTCTTTGATTTGTCAAGATGCCAAGTATATAATGTCTACAAATAAGATACACAAAGATGATTGTTCTTCTGTTCTTCTGTTTTATTGTTCAGTTCTTTTTGTCTCCTGTACTTTACATCAATTTTTGACAGAATTCAAAGTTACAATATTCTATTAATTCTTATTTTAATATTGTTGTGCTTTATATGCATATTTACAGCCTGTAGAGGAATTCTGATGTCCTGTTGATCAGCTGACCTTACTTTCCCTATCTTCTAAATCTTATCCTGTTCTTTCCCATTAGTTGTTGATGTGAGGGTATACAATCAGAATAAAAGTTTGGGTCACATCATATTCTTCTAATATATAACAATCTGAATTGATTCTAGTGTTTATTTTTTTCAGTGTCCTACTGAAACCAAAGCAACATTTGGTGTCCACTTTAAAGTAGTAGGAGACTGGACAGGTATGTACCACTTAAGAGCTTTAAATTCTTTGAAGAGAATGTAGCATAACAAAATGCATCAACGTAATTTACTCCTTTGTATAGAAAGGTATGAAGATATTGAGGAGTTCAGCTTTTCTTTATTTATTTTAATGCCTTTTTTCTTATAAGATTTATTATTGAATCAGAATAATGTGAGTACCGGTAATTATTCACAATGCATTATTTATGGAGTTTCAAATCATAGGCTTCTTCATGTCAGTTTTACTGCAGCAGTAGGAACACTGAAAGCCAGTTCTGGAAGCATAAGTCTAAAATTCATGGTGAGCTCGACCCTTGAAATAACATTTAAGTGCGTAAGATGGCTGCGAAAATAAAGATGTCACACTGTGGACCCACGTTTGTAATTCAGAAACTACTTTCCCTTGATTCAGTGGACTGGGTAGCAAATGCATGCTTAGCGAGTATTGGCTTGTTGGTTATTTAGAGTGCTGTCAGGAAAAAAAAAAAGAATGAAAGCATAAGAGAAAATACAAACATAATGAAATACATTTATGATTAAATGAAAGAAACAAGGATCTCCTTAAGAGCCGATTCAGTGTAGTCTAGAGCTAGAATAAGCAGGCTCTTCAACCTCCCCACCTCCCAAGGGAGGAGCAGTCCTGCTAGGCCACAGAGGAGGACTTTGCAGCCAGTCCTGAAGATACCTGATAAAACAGGGTCAGATGAAGGGGGAGGAGGTCCTCCTCAAGCAGTGGACTTGGAAAGGGGCAGGGAGGAGATGAGGGAGGGAGGATGGGATTGGGAGGGAATGAGGGAGCAGGATACAGCTGGGATACAGAATTAATAAATGTAACTAATAATAAAAATAAATAAAAAGAAAACCCATAGAGAATATGGAATTTTTGAAATTCAGACATTGAGAAAATGTATGAAGATGTAAGAAAAAAAAAAAAAGGTAAAATTCATGATAGAATTCCTCAAAGTCAGTGAACATAATGATTAACCAAATTAGGGAATCAATCAAACAAAGCCCAAGAAAACCAAATGAATAAAAATGAAAACAGTGTCAAGCAAATGAAATGAAATAATTCGTTCTAGTAAGCAGCTATTTGGGTTCAGCTCAGCAAAGATTGAGTGAACTGAGTGAGCTCATACTAAACTGGGGACTTTACAGGATAAAAAGCTCTTTATCCGTTTTTTACAGGATAAAAACCTCTCTAGTGAAAGTAACATTAGTGATTTGCTAGTTCAGTCTCTTAGCATTAAAGGAAGGTTTGCATATATTCTTGGAAACAGAGTTGGAGAAACCAGAGGGTTTCCTGTTAAACCTGGAAAAAAGTGGCTGTGAACAAGAGTTAAAAGTTAGCATTGGAAAGAAGAAAATAATTTAAAAATCAGGAAAGGTAGGATTTTGTATAACAAGGAAATATTCTTGGGTGCTGAGAAGGGCCGTTGATATCAGGAGGTTATATTATATAGCAAAATATGTGATGTGAATGAAACTCTCCATGTTTAAAGGCAGTGAACATGGAAGTTAAGAGTTAAAAAATGGTGAAAGTATCTGATGTTGCAACATACAACTTAATTTGGAAAATCCAAGTCTATTTACGAAGATTGATTTTTAAAATGACTGAGAAATAATAACCTTCTTGGACTCACAAGTATAAGCTTAATTAGATAGTGGTTATGCAGTGGTATCTAAAAGAGATCACAGCAGCCCATCTATAGAGAGACATTCATGTATCATGGAAGGGTTAATTCATATGGTAGAGCAGTTGAAAAAATGAATTTGTTTTCACACTGTCTGGCAAATAAAGAATGGGGGAAATTCTTTTCTGGTAAAATCCTAATATAGCAGAAATTTGGTTCAGCAATGAATGGTAATTGATAGAATTCTGTATCTACAGGAAGGGAACAATAATGCAATTTAATAATCATAAGGGTATGAAAAAGCTTCATGATATTTTGTAACTAGAAATTGTGCCTGAGTTTTTCTCCGAGTTATTTTTGATCACTGGTAGCTCATTAAAATAAATAGTTACTTCAATATTTATTTCAATTTTCTTCATTGGGAGCATACAACATTGTTAATTTTGCTCTCCTTTAAAAAAAATGTGCTTTAACATTGAGAGAGATGCAAGATCATTTTATTCAGATTTAAGTTCTGTCTAAAGTAAAGATATTTTTCACATAATAGAGCCAAGGATGCATGTAGAGAAGCTCTAAATAATTCTGTCACTCACTAACACAATATTTCAAAAGGAGATTTAGCTGCCAAAAAAACAACAGAGTTACAATCATTGAAAGAAAAATGAGAACATTCTCCTGAGATTTCCTCTAAATTTAAATTATGAACAGAGCGTTATGTCTGGATGTGCCAAAGAAGAACTTAGTAAGGATTTGAACATTAGAGGCTTGCTTTTTTAAGTGGTAAGGTTTATTTATGTGTGTGTGTGTGTGTGTGTGTGTGTGTGTGTGGTGTGTGTGTCTGCACGTGTAGTTGCGCGTGTGCCATCAGAAGGCAATTTGTGAGAGTAGGTTCTTACCTTCCACAATAGATTAGGTTTAAAGTCACTCGGTTTGAAATGCAATCACTTTTACCTGCTGAGCCCTCTTCCCAGCCCCATGTTGTGGATTTTTAACAGTGACTTTGCTTGATGAAGTGTGCTCTACCGTAGGCAGTGAAGGGGAAATAAAGAAACCTTTATGCTTGTTCCATAATGATCGTTTCAAGAGTAACCTACCATCTACAGTGTATAAGATGTAAATGAAGTAGCTGCATAGTACTGGAAGAAGAGATACCCAGTGTCAGACTTGTCTGCATTTTTATTACGAATTGCACCTCATGAGTGCATGAGTGACACTTTACATTTAGAGGAGTCTTAAAAGCACAAGTATGCAAGATGGCATTTTCCCTTTACAATGATGGTGGTAAAGATGGTGGTCAAAGGAATGGGATTATTATATTGTTTCTCTTCTGTCATTAATCATATTTCTATGTCAATGATGTAAGACTGTTACCTTGACCATAATTCTGTTTAAAATACCTAATCTGTGCTGGATGTGATTATTGTAGAATAATTTCACCATTAGCATTTTACTCTGTTATTTCAGTGGTATAAATTGCACATTATTTTAAAGTTTTTTTGTGTTTCACCACAAAAGTGTTATATACACAATACACACATATAATTAGTCTAAAATTTTGCTATGAACAAATTCAGTAACCAATGTGTAGTTAATAATAGACATTGAGAGACCCACTATATATGTAACATAATGTCTTTTATTGATTTTTCATTATGAAATTTTCACATTGCCCATTATAGTGTGCAGTAACCATTAGATATAGCTAACTATTTAATATAAGTAAAATAAGAACAATGGAACACCATGGATTTGCTTTGATAACATAAAACTGCACTAAGCAGACTGTAAGAAATGTTAAATGCAACTTTAATTAAAGACATCCAAAAATACTTAATTATTGTATCTCTAGGCCATTCAATAAGGCATGAATGCTTCAGGTTCTATTCACCTGATTGTTCATGAAAACATTCAGATAGGATATGTGTTATGTGTGTTAAGGACCTTTTTAAATTTGGAGTTCTTATAAGTTGGCCACGACAACACTAAATTATAGTAATTTATGGTTACAGCATGTAGAGTAAAATTATATAACTTACCATAGACTAAAACTGACGTCGAATGCCTGTTTTGCTTTTGATTCAAGTAGTTTTTCCATGTGTAAACATTTCATTTTTATTTTTAATTCAATTTTTATTTTTTTAATATTAATTATAGTTTATTGACTTTGTATCTCACCTGTAGCCCCCTCTCTCAGTCCCTCCCAATGCCACCCTCCCTCATCTCCTCCCTGCCCCTTTCTAAGTCCACTGATAGGGGAGGTCCTCCTCTCCTTCCACCTGACCCTAGTTTATCAGGTCTCATCAGGACTGGTTGCATTGTCTTCCTCTGTGGCCTAGCAAGGCTGCTCCTCCCTCGGGGTGAGAGGATGTCAAAGAGCCAGGCACTGAGTTCATGTCAGAAGTAGTCCCTATTCCCCTTACTAGGTAACCCACTTGGATACTGAGCTACCATGGGCTACGTCTGATCAGGGGTTCTAGGTTATATCCATGTATGGTCCTTGGTTGGAGAATCAGTCTCAGAAAAGACCCCTGTGCCCAGATATAATGGGTCCTTGTGGAGCAACTCTCCTCTACAGGTGTTTCTATCTCCCCCTTCTTTCATATGATTACCTGCACTCTGCCCAAGGTTTGGTTATGAATTTCAGCATCTGCTTTGACACTCTGCTGGGCTGAGTCTTTTAGAGGCCTTCTATGGTAAGCTCCTGTCCTGTTACTTGTTTTCTCTTACTTCCAATGTCCATTCCATTTGTCTTTGTAAGTAAGGATTGATCATCTTACCTCTGGTCCTCCTCCTTATTTAGCTTCTTTAGGTGTACAGATTGTATGTTTATCCTATCTTTTAGGTCTAGTATCCACTTATAAGTGAGTGTATACCATGTGTGTCTTTCTGTTTTTGGGATACCTCACTCAGGATGATCTTGTGGTACTATCAACAGTTTTTAAATTTTATTCGTTATTTATTAAAATTTATGCACTTTATACAATTTATCCCGGCTGTAGCCCCCTCCCTCATCTCCTTCCAGTCCCACCCTCCCTCCATCTTCTCTCCTAGTCCACTGGTATGGGAGGTCCTCCTCCCCTTCTCTCTGACCCTAGCCTATTATGTCTCATCAGAACTGGCTGCAGTGTCTTCTTCTGAGGCCTGGCAACGCTGCAGCCTCCAGGGGATGGTGATCAAATAGCAGGCAACTGAGTTCATGCCAGAGACAGGCCCTGTTTCCCTTACTGGGGAACCCACTTGGAAACTGAGCTGCCTATGGTGTACATCTGACCAGGGTGTCTAGGTCCTCTCCAATGCATGGTCCTTGGTTGGAGTATCTGTCTCTGCAGGGCCCTAGGCCCAGAGTTTTTGCTCTGTTGGTCTCCTTG